TTTGTTGTTGTTGTTGTTGTTTGTTTTTTCCTGTGCTGGAGATTGAACTCTGGATCTTGCACTTGTCAGGCAGGCAACAGAACCACTAAACTAAATCCCTGGCCTCCTTGACTTTCAATCCAAGCTAGAAGTCCTCCCTGATACCTACCTTCCCTGGCAGGGGATTTCCAGCCCAGCTAAGCCCAGATCTTCATCCATAGGACAGAGCTGGGTAGCTGGAGGAAGAGCCATCAGGGCTGGGCTTCAGAGAGTTGGGACTGTCTCCTAGCCTCCCTCAACTCTGATGAGACAATGGGAAGTTCATACCTCTGACCTGTTCACTGCAGGCCACAGCTATAGTAGATCCGGAGCTGAGAGATCTGGGTTCGAGTATCAGCTCCAGCCCTTGTCAGGACCTATTTTTGAGCTTCAGCCTTCACATCTGTGAAATGAAGACCCTAATCTTGATTGGGGATAATGTAGAAGATTTGGGGGGATTGTATTATAGTTTCTCATCTTATGAGTGAGAAAACTAAGTCTTAGAGAATTTAAGCAACTTGCTCAAGATCACACATAGCTACAAATAAAATTGGGCAAAGTCTACTGTAGAACCCAAAATGCATATTATGATTCCAGATTGCTTTGGTACTGCTCTAGCTAGGAACCAGAAGATTTCTGGCACAAGCACTGCTTATGCAAATGTTTGGGGGCCACTGAACTAGCTTCTCAAAGGAGCAGAAAGAGTGCATCCTAATCAGACAGAAGCCACCTAGAATTGCTCTGGTGTGGTGATGGTGGGGCAGGGGAAACAGGGACACATCTGAGCTCCTGGAGGTCCTTGACCCCAGCCTCTTCATTGGAACAGCTTTGCTCTCCCCTCATTTCTTAAATGCCCCACCCGAAGTCCCATTGCCATCACTTTTATAGTCTGATCCCAGTGCTCTGGGCTGAGAGGTGGGGATGTCCCAGGGTGTGTTCACAGTGCTGTGACTGTGTGCAGGATATATGTGCAGTTGTTGCGGCAGGCTTGGGAACTCTATGTGTTCTCACCGTGTATGGAAACTTATTTGTGCGTGAAGTGATTGGGGGCAGTCTGTGTTCAGCCTCAACCTAATGAATGCGCATGGCCATTTCCCAGCTATGTGTGGGTGTATGATGTGTCCAAGGACCTCCTGAGTAGTGTGTTTGTGACCACTGGTGGCAATATGTCCCAGCTGTATGTGCAAGGGGGACTGGCTGTCCCTGTGTGGTAGTGGTAGTGGGGGCTGGGATGTGAGCATTATGTGTTGTATGTGGAGGTACCTGTGATCAGGCTGGGGGCAGTGCCACTTCATTTTCATCTCAGGGAAAGGGAGAAAATACCTGGCACTCTTTGGGACCCCCAAACAAGCCCTTTCTCACTGTTTCCATTCCTTCTCTGCTAATGAGCTAGATTATGCTCAAGAACATTCTGACATTGGAGTTTCCAGGGGAGGGGAAGACAGAAGCTTATGAAACCATAGCACCTGGTGGACGGAGAGAAATGGGGGCGACCTGACTTGGGGTTTGCTGCAGATCTGGTTGGGGAAAGCTGTGGCCCAGCCCCAGCAGTCACTCCTGCACTAGGACACCGGCCAAACTTGGCGCTAAGGTTTACAGCGCCTCGTTTCTCCGCAGGGAGGATAGGATCCTTGATTTGACTCAGAACTGGAACCAGAGGCCAAGAGAGATGGCGCCATAAAGCACCAGGACCCAGGATAGGAGCACAGGTCTCATGACCTCTGGCACCTGTAAGAAGCAAGCTGAAAGACGAACGCCTAGAGATGCGAGGGCCCCAGACTGAGATCCAAGTTCGACTTCCCTCTGGCAGGTTGAGATTCCTCGCCCAGTTGCTTCGAGGATTTGAGCCCGGCCTTACGTGGGCCCTGTGCGCCTCTGGCACGCAGCAGGTATGCAGCAGGCGCGCTCGGTAAACACCAGCTGTGGCAAGAGAGCAAGTCCGCCTCTGTACCTCAACAGGGTGTGAAGTCTTCTGGAGTGGCGGACCGGCGCTGTGGGTCCGAGGCGCCCGCAGGGACCCTCCCCCGCCCCCAGCTCGCGCGTAGCCACCCGGTGGGGTTCCGGCACGCTGACGTGGGCGGATCAAAGCGGCCGGGCGCGCCTTATAAAGCAGGTGGGAGTCTTGCAGCGCAGATCCAGCCGGCAAGAGGGAGAGAGGCGCCGAGCAGGCAAGCGCAGGCCGGGGATGAGCTGAGCAGAGCCGAGAGCAGCCAGAGTTCGCGCCACAGTCCCGCCGTCCTTGTCCAGCCGCTTCTACCAGAGGGCGCCGTCGCAGCTAGCCCAAGTGTGCCCCGGGGCGCTGGGGACCGCGCTTTCCGCTCCTGGGACTGACCGGAACAGAGGAGCACGCAGGGCGCGACCAGAGAACGCCCCGAGAGGTGAGCAGTGGTCACGACTTACGCTCAGCAGAGACCCGCTAGGCACGGAGCGCCGAGGCCGAGGGTGAAGGCGCTTCTCGAGCACCCGCCTCCATCCACTAGGGGACCCGAGGAAGCAAACAAGTCCTTCAAGCCCCTCCACGGCGGCACTCCGAGGAATCCCACTCTCCGAGTGAAACCTCGTGGGCCTGGGGATGCGGACTGGAGAGGACGCGGAGTGGGGTGGGTTGCGCGATGCCTGCGGCCCTCTCCGAGCTCTCCTGGCCCTGTTCCCCACCGCGGGCCTCGGACCCCCTCCCTCCCAGCCGGCGCGCAGATGAGGTCATGCCCGAGCCATCCCGGGGGTGGGGGACTTGGATCCCCAGGCCGAGGGTGTGTGTGGCGAGGCCAGAGAGGGTGGTAAAGGCAGGAACTTCGGCAGCTCCTACCAAACTGGGAGGTGGGGAGCAGACGCCTTGTTTTTTGAATGGCTCCCAAAGGCAACGAGGGTAAGGGAGAATCGAGTTTGTTTACAGACCTGAGCTCCAGGCTGGGGTTTGGGGTGGGAGAGTCCTGTACTTGATCCCGCAGCACATCTGGAGCCGCCCGGACCATCTGGCTGAGCTCGCGCCGTTGCCCCGCACCTCCACTCCCTCCGCTCTGAGGTGCCCCGTGTCCTGCACGGTCCTTGGGAGTTCAGATTCGAGCTCCAATGAAGTGGAGGGAGGCTTCTGGAGTTCCCTACCCTCCCTAACCATTTCCAAAACGCCCGGTCTCCGCGGCGACCTGGAGCGGCGTCCCCAGCCAAGCAGATAAATCTGAAATACTCGAGGCTGTGGTCACAGCAAGATTGCTGGTCAGGCCTCGCTCCGCCTCGCAGGTAACCCTGAAGCTCAGCGCCCCTGGATCGCCGGGTCTGCTTTGAGGGCTGCGCTGCCCGAGAGGCTTCTGCACTCGCGGGCGCAGGCCTTATGCGAGGCTAGGACCCTGCTTCCCCGCGGGGCACCCGGTCCCGGCCCAGCACTGGGGCATCAGGGTAACTAAGGCTTTGCAAGTCTCCCCTGGCTGGGCTCGGAGAGGAGGTTGACTGAGCGGCAGGGCTCTAGAAACCTCCATAACCCGTCTTAGGACCACCTGTTGACAGCGCGGCGCTGGCGCTGCTGCGCTCGAGCTGTCCAGCTTGTGCACGGCCTAGGGAGGCCCCTTTAACCCCCTGCTACAAGCGGGGTGACTTGGACCTATTCCCCGGTGGAGTCGGAAGGGGTCTCTGTCCTTCCATGGACGCTGAGCTGTTCCACGGGCCGCTGTGCGCCTGGCTCGGGGAGGCTCCGCACAGGGCCTGCAGCCAGGGGTCGGGCAGTTCAGGCAAGTGGATGTCCTATAGAATGACCAGGACTGAGAGGACACACACTGCACACCGCATCTCATGCCCAGACTGGTACGCCCGGCGCAGGAAGAGAAGTCTTGCCTGAAGTCCCACAGTGCGAGAGGCTGCTGCTGATCACACCTTAGCGCCCCCTGGCGGGCCAGGGGCTCCGGGAGGCGAGTGCGCGCTGACCGGCGGGGCCCAGTTGAGGGTGACCCGGCGGCCCGCTTGGCTGACCTGGACGTTCTTACAAGGGACAGGAATAATCCGACAGGGCCACAGGCCTAAGCCAAGAGCCGCCTCCCCCAGCGGCGATCTGGGGCGGAGGAGGGAGAAGCCGGGCACCGCTGGGGCTGCTCCGACGGGGCAAGGAGTGTCTGGAGGCCTGGGTCTTCGTTTTCTGGGCCACCCGAGCGGCCACTCCTCTCTCTTCGAGAGTCGAGCTGGACACTGTTCCCTGCTCTAAGTCTGCGAGCCTTCTGCCGGCAGCGCCTGCCTCCTCCCCACCCAGGAACGCTCGGCGACTTGTGGGGAGCACAGTGGAGGGGGCAGTGACTGGAGTTGCCATCTCCTAACCAGCCAACAGATATTTGTCTCATTCTGAGGAGTGCGGTAAACTTCCAGGACTCGTGGGACAAAGGTTTGGAGACAGGCTTGGTGGGAGCAGGGGCTGAGCTACACGGAGAACCCCACTGAGACCCCCGCCAGGATTCAAGTTTGTACTGAGCGCCTCTGTGTTGGGCGCTTCGCAGGGGGACAATGGGGAGGAGAGGGAAAAGTCGTTTGGGCGTTTCTTCTTGCCTTCCTCTGAGTTATGACAGAAGGCCCCCTAAATGTTGGAGTTGTGTGTGTAGGGCACACATGCGCAATACTACACAGGTATACGTAATAGTGGAAACAGGCGAAGGGAGATCGGGGACTCAGGACTGAGGGACTGGAAAGACATCAGGAAACGCGTGAAGTCCAGTGCGTTGTTTTCATAGAAGGGGAAACTGAGGCTGGGATGGTTGCGGGCTTGTCAAAGCTTAGACAGTCTGCTGAGGACCTCCTTTTCCCGCTCCAGTACCCGCCTCCATCCCCTCGAGGTCGGGCACCTCCTTTTTCCAACTGCAAACCCGTTAGAAAGGAATCCCTTTGTCTCTGCACCTCCAGAAAGGAGAGGGGCTAAGGCCAGGTGTTGGTAAATTTGGGAGAAGCTGGGAAGGGAGTTAATGAGGTGAGAATGAAGAGGGGGGGAAAAGCCGCAGAAGGCAGCTCTGCGGGCTGCGACCGGAGCGGTAGCGGCTCCTCCGAGGCCCTGGGGCGCCGCCTGGCGGCCGCAGCAACACCTACAAACCCACTATCCCTGTTTCTCATCCTCCCCTTCCCAGACTGAAAAGCTAATCGCAAAAGAAGTACCCATGTCCTGTCTGGATAATGGCAGACGTGAGAGCAGAACCCCAAATCGGGTCTGTGCCTATTGAGCTGAACAACCCATTTCACATCTGTGGACCTTGGTTTCCTCAGTGTAGAATGACAGAGATAGTACCTGTCCTAAGACTGCTAGGAGAGACAAAGGTGGAATGTTAGGAGAACGTTCTTTATAAAAGCTGAATTACAGGGGCTAGGGTTTTAGTTCAGTGGTGCCGCGCCTGCCTTGAAAGGTCCTGAGTTCGATCCCGGTACAAAAAAAAAAAAAGAAAAAAAAAGTGAATTGTGTCCAAATTCCCCCATTTTACAGAAGGGGTAAACTGAGGCCTGGCGGGTTAGCAGAATTACTAAGGCCATAATAGCTAATAATATAGCGGGAATAAATACCCAGATTCCAGGCCAAGGGCCAGATCCCTTGCTCATCTCCTTTCTGGCCGTCAGTTGGTGTCCCTGTGTCTGTCCGGATTTCCCCCTCTGCTGTGCCTAATTCGAGCCAGACCCTGCGGGTCCGACGACGCGGGCGGGAGGGGCGCGCGCCTTTCGGCCTCCAGGGGCGACCCCTCCTTTGTAATTTGAATAAAACGCCTCCGGCCCGCCTGCGCGCCGCCTTAACGCGCCGCCCCGCTCTCCCCGACTGCAGGCTTCGTGCGCGCAGGAGCGGCGGTGGCCGTGCAGGCGGCGGGACTTCGGAGCTGCTCCTGCAGGGTGCGACCCCGAGGGCACCCGCCGCGCGACGATGAGGGCGCGGCCGCAGGTCTGCGAGGCGCTGCTCTTCGCCCTGGCGCTCCAGACCGGCGTGTGCTATGGCATCAAGTGGCTGTAAGTGGGGACCCTGCATCCACCGACGGGTCGGGGCGGGCGGCTGGGCGCAGTGGAAGGCGTTAAGGGGTCCTCGTGGGTTGGGCGAGCGTGCCCAGCCCCGAGATCCCAAGTCGACTTGGGGATTGGGAAAGTAAGCCTTGGTTGGTTTCCTCCTGTGTAAAATGCTGTCCTTACCTCCCAGGGGCTTGAGAATTGGGCAAGGGAATTGTTGCCTCCAGGACAGGAGGAGCCGCGGACCTTCGCAGGGCAGCTCTAAAAAGACAGGGGCGCGGTCAGGAGGGTCTGCTCTGGGCGCAGAGGGGCAGCTCAGGAGCGTTCAGCACAGCCTCCCTCTCCCTAGCTGGAGGTCTTGACCCCTGCACCTGGGTGACCTTGGGGAAATGTCCCTTTGCTTCTGAGAGCCTCTGTCGAAGGAGGGCAGTCTCCAGGTTCCTCCGGACCCCCCCCCCCGAATAGGCTCCTGAGAGACACCCTCAGCTGTCACTCGTTCCTGTAGGTACAGCCATCCTTGGGAGGTGGTGAGAGAGCCTCCTCTCCGTAGGGGCGCCCGCTGTCCTGGCTGTGCAGGACGTAGGAGTGACACCCAGCCATCCTGGAGGAGCCGCCCTGGACTGGGACAGATAAGCCCCGGCTGTAAATAACTTCACAAATGTCCAAGTGCCCAGGAGAGACCAGTGCCTCCGTGTGGGGGCCCAGAGGTAGAAGACAACCAAGGAGGGAGGTCACACACTGGGACTCTGGAGAGATTTTCCAGGGTTTGCCCTGGCCCCTATGGAGTTGGAGGGAGCTAGTGGGGGGCATTAGGGAAGAGGGCCCCGGGTGGGGAAGTCCAAGACAGACAGGACTGGAGCTAGTGCAGGGCAGGGAGTAAGCAGATAAAACAGCAGGCAACCGATTATAGGGGCTGGAGAGGGGCCTTAGGAGGCTTTGTGGATTAGCTGAAAGACTGGGTGATAGTGACTGGGCCACCAGCAAACATTCTCAAGGTCACTAGCTCTGCCCCTTCTGGGCAGAGTTATCAATTAATTGATGACTCAATTGATGACTCAAGAGCGGAACCCCATTTTCTTGCACTTCCTATTTGCAAGGAGAATCCTGGCCTGGTGGTCTGTGGCATGGGATCCTCCTAGCTGTCCCTCATGAGCTTTGTGATAAGTAACCACCTTCCTCCTCCTGCTGAGCACCCAGTGTGCTTCCTGCTAGCAGAACTTGGGGTCTGTGAGGGAAGCACCCCTCACCCACCACCCCCTTTTGGAAAGGATTTGCAGAAAGGCACAAGGAGTGTCAGAGGCCGGGAACTGGGCTTGGTGACATTGGGTGCCCATAGAGTCATGGAGATTCTGTCATCCCTGCCCTGCAGTGGGGGTACTGAAGTGTGACTTGTAGCAGTCCCCAAGCTGGCATGTGCCAGGTCAGTTGCTGGCTGAGCCCAACACCACACAGGCTGGCTGTGACAGACAAGGACACTCAGCCTCTCCTGAAAATACAAGGTGTCAGAGAGTGGTCTGTGTCCTGGAAGAGAAAGCGTGGGAGCCCAGAGAAAGTGCAGCCCCTTCCACCCAAGGGAGGTGACTGCGGCTGGCTTGGGGGGACTGAGAGGGTTGTGATGGGCAGAGATGGCATGAACGTGGGCATCCCAGGTGGGAGGATGGTGGAGGCAGGACCATACTTTGGGGGAGCTTGGAGAGGCCAGGAGCCACAAGCACCTGCTAGTAAGTGCCCAGACATGGCTCTGAGAGCTGTCATTTAATGTACTACTCTTAAGTGATAGGTGATAGTTTTAACATTACTACTTTATAAGTGGGGGAATTGAAATACAGAGACATTAAGCAATTCCCTCAAGGTCTCAAAGCTGATGCCTGGTGATTGTAGGATTGTCAGAATCCAGACTGACGGACTCCAAGAGGCCAAATCTCTTGATAATGACTAAGCTCTTGCTGGAGCTGAAGGTAGAAGAGAAGTGGGAGAAGGAGTGGAGTTTAAGAATAAGCATGTGAGCTGGGGTCTTAGCTCAGTGGTGCCACTGCCTGCCTTGTGAGCAAGGTCCTGAGTTTGATTCCCAGTACAGAACAAACAAACAGACAAACTTATGTGTGCATGTGCACAGAAACACATGCATGCAGACATAGATAGGCGCACACCACACACACACACACACACACACACACACACACACACACACAGGCTTGCTGCCTGCTAGGCACAGTGCTAAATGCCTGATGTGTATGGTTTCACTTAAATCTTCCTAGCATGTCTGACTCATATGGAAGAGGAAACAGAGGCATGAGCATGTCTGTAACCAACAGGTTGTCACAGCCAGTGGGTAATAGAGGCAGGATTCAAGTTGGGCAGTCTAGCTATGGCCTGTTGGTCACAGGAAGCCCCGGCCCAGTTGGACATTGGGGATGGGAGGGTGGGAACCCATCCTGGAGAATTATCTGTGCTAAAGGGACAGTCAGCATAGGGACTGAAGCCAGATGTGGCCCAGTGACCTGGGAGGCCCACCTGATGGGCACCTGGAACAGCTGAGCAGGTGGGATAGGGGTAGGAGTGAGGTGAGGACCTGCCTGCCCAGGGGAGCACCTGCCCACAAAAATCCCAAACCCTTCCCATACCTTTCTTTCCAAGCCAGGTGCTAGGAAACTCCAGACCAGAAATGTGGGAGGGATCTGGGTCTGGGTCTGGGTCGCCCACCTCCCAGGCTGCTGCGGGTGGAGAGCGGCAGAGGGTGGTCCCAGCCCCTGGAGGTCAGGCCCAGGTTGGCTGGGAGGCCCAGGAAGACTCCTCCCACCCTGGGCAGGCCCACACCTACCACTCACAAAGGGGTGGGGCCTCTCAGGAAGTCCCAGGAGAGTTTAGAAGGGACACCACTGCTGCAAAGTGGAGTGAAGCGCCCGATGGGAGCCAGAGCCCCTGCTGGAGCTCCTCCCCTGAGGTCTTGGCAGTGCCTTCTAGGTAGGATGGGATCTGAAGGCTCCAGGTCCTTCACCAGCCTCAGTCTCCCCATCTACACAGTGTAGGAAAGGAGCTGGCCACCTTCCTATTGGCTCTGAAGCCCTGGGACAGATGCCTGAGGGGACAGGACTCAGGCTGTGCAGCCCAGGGGGCTTCTCCCGGAGCCTGGAGTGGCGGGGGAAAAGGGGACAGCTCTGAGCCCTGGTTCCTAGACGTAGGGCCTCACTAAAGAATCATGACTTGCAGTAGAGGACAGGGCTCCCCAAGATGACCTCAGGGAAGCCTACAGCAGGGCTGAGTTTGCTGGATCCCTGGTTCTTCTGTCCTCCCTGCTTCCAGGGTGCCAGGACAAGGTGTGACCCAGGACAGCCCAAAGAGCAGTAAGTAGGTGGGGAGCAAGTGTCTGGTTTGGGGAGCAGGGTCTCCTCGGACTTCATTGCTCTCCTACACCAGGTCAGTGTGGCCCACACAGGCAGAAGCACCAGGCTTCCTGATTTATGCCCCTGCCCCGGCCAGCCCGCAGCCCTCCCCAGGCTCCTCCTCATCCTGGAAGTGTGGCTGTTGATGTCAGGGCCTACCCTGTACCTGACTGTTGACATCACATCTCTCTCTGCAGGAGAATCAGGGGCTGCCAGGCTAATTCTGGGTATGCTGGTAGGAGCCCTTCCAAGGCCTTGGGAGTCCAGCTCTGCCAAGGACGTACCAGTTAGTGGCTAGGGTGGGTACTGGGCACACTGAGCAGCTAGACTGCAGAATGAAACACTTCAGTGCCCTGGCACTTGAAGCCTGGCCGCCAGGTCTTTGGCTGAGAGCTCATCTTGCCCGTGCCCACGGGAGAGAGATGCTGTGAGGGGTGGGCTGGGGAAAGAGGCCCAAGCTGAAGGTGGCCTTACCTGGACCAGGGGCCCGAGAACTGCCTGGGGGCAGGGTTACTGGCAGGTCTGGAAAGTGAGGAGACTGCAGTAGCCTGGCAGGAGATATGTGGCCCTGCAGAGGCCTCAGGGAGGGAAGACCCCCTGGGGAGGCATGGAGATGGGCTGGTGGAGCAGAAGAGACAGGGAGGATTGTCCACCTTGTAGTACCGTAAAACATCCTCGCAGTGAGAGCCTCACATTAGTCATGGGCACTGATTGTTATGGAGGGGAAACTGAGCCTGGGCAAAGGTCGGTGACTTGCCAAGGCCGCGTGGAAAGTGAGTGGCTGAGTGGTTCCAGCCCCAGAGAAGCCATCTTTTGGCTGCCTATGCAGAGCCCCTGGCACAGCCTTGCCTGTGAACTCTCTGTTCCCTCCTGTCCTTTCTTCCACCCGCTCCCCCATGCCCCCTCCCCTAGATAAACCAGAATGTTTCCAATTAGGGTTCTGCTGGCGTGAGGCAAGCTGGAGAGATGTCCACACCAGTGACTCCCTCGCCTGCCGCCTTAATCCTTGATTACCTCCCCAAGGGGGATTTAGTTAGAAACGGTCATTACCACTAATTACCAGATGACCGGGCCCTCCTGGGCAGTGGAGTCCACTGCTTCGCCTGGGGCTCCTGTGGGTGGGCCTCCCCCACACAGGGGACTGGCTGCTCCCCTCCAGCCAGGCTAGCAAGCCTGTCCCATCCAGCAGCTCCCTCAGCCTCACCTCCAGGTATCTGCAGAACAACTTCCCACACATCCTCACCTCCATCCGTCAGTCCTCCTAGAGGGTCAGAGCCTCATCTGGGAGGTGCCTACATGGCTCACAGGGCAGCTGCTGCCTGCTGCCTTCAGATGGGAGCTGAGACCCACAGGGGCTCCAGTGTACCCTCAGGATCCCCAGCCAGTGGGAGTCGATACCAGCACCTCAGAACTCCCATCCCCAAGAGCCACAGCACCCAGCCTTCAGACACTGCCTGCCCTGCGCTCTGCAGGAAAAGCTTTGCCCCATCAGCCTGCTTCCTGGCTAGAGCAGGAGCCAAGGTGAAAGCCCCGGAAGGCAGCTGTGTGGCTTGAGTGCCCACTGCATGTCCACTGTGGGGCTGGAGGTTTGATTTGCTAGTGCTCATGGAATCTTTCCCATTTAAAACCAAGAAAACTGGCTATGTGGAGGGGAGGAAGCTGGCAAAGGCAAAGGGCAGAGTGGGCTCAGGGCAGGCCCCTGTGTATAGCCCAGGGTGGCACTGACAGCCTGCTGGGGAGGGAAGCTTGGGCTGGCAGGGCTGCTGGGCAAGTGCTGCCCCAGGCTCCACCTCAGCATCCTCATTTATGATCACCTCATCCAGGCCACCCCTGAGGCGTGAAGTAAGAGGCTCTGAGCGCTGAGAAGTGCTGTGCACGTGTGGGGCATGGCCCATAGACACTTGCTGGGGAGAGGTGGGAAGCCGCTAAACACCGGGACCCAGCAGAGGTGATAACATTTGCTTCTGTGTGGTCAAAGCCCACCCAGTCAGGGCAGGCTCCCTAGAAGGTGAGGTCAGGAAGCCGTGTCTGAGGCCACTCTGTGACGTCCAGACACACCCAGCGCATCCCTGCTTATGCCTTGGAGGGTGGGGATGGGAGGGCCAGGCACAGTGAGGGGAGTCTGCCCAGGCCACCCACAATCAGGCTCAGACAGGCTGTTACAGTGCCCCAAACACAGACACCAGGCCAGGCCTGCCCGCCCCCTGCCCACTTCCTGGGCCAGTTAGATTTGTATACTTGAGGGTTATGAGAGGTAGGAGGAGGTAAGTGAATGCACTGAGTGATGTGTACGTATTTTCTGATTTACTTTGTAGTAGATGCTCAGAGAGAAGCAGCAATTTGCCCAAGATTGCATAGCACACAGAGGGCAGAGCCTGTGCTAGAACCCAGGTCTGTTCACTTCCTTGGATCCAAAAATCACCTGGCATAAGCTGGTATCTGAATAGTCCAAATGCTATGAATACATTATCTTATCTAAGTCTCTCCATAACCTTTTGAAGTAGAAATGATCACTGTTAATGGATGAGAATTATGAGGCTCAGAGAAGTTGGGTAATTTACCCAGGTCACAGTCCTGGTGCCCAAAGCTTGTACCTTTCCTGGACCAGGCCAGGAGCCAGAACAGCTGGGTCCATGGCTTCTAGCCATTGGTAGTGTGATCCAGCCATGAGTCTAGGGGGTCCTGGAGGATTTAGACCATGTTCATTACCAAAGGAGCCTGGGAAGAGCCAGCGCTTAGTAAACATTTCTCCCACAGGTAGACGAAGTTCACTTCTTTATTTCAGTGCAAGAGCAGGGGGAGGGGCACAAGGAAGAGTTTGGGTGAAGGCATGGTGATAGGAAACTCCTTGTCTCACTGGATCCCTTCCTGGGAAATCAGGTACAGACACTGAGGCCAGGGGAACAGTGAATTATCTAAGGTCACACAGCAAGTTAACAGCAAAATCTCAATTAGAAACAAATATTTCCAAGTTTTGATCATCACAAAAGTGAGTGCCCTTCAATCTTTCAATGGCAGTTCTTTGCGTGGATGGGGACTTTACAACATAGCAGCTGGGTTTAGTAATGCAACTGATGGAAATCTCCTCAGTCATGTTGTGCATATACTAAGGGCTCAGTTAATAGAACGCATCATTATTATGATAATAATCAAGCAGTTAACTTAGTTGCGAGCACATAGCTGCTCAGTGCTGGATAAATGTTGAATAGAGTAATACTTTGCAGCTGTGATAGATGAGAGTACTTTGTAAACTGCAAAACTGTTTGTTGTTGGTGCAACCATATAGCCTAGGCGGGATGGGGGTTGTAAACCTGTGTTATGGTTATAGCCCAGAGAGGGACAGTGATGTGCCCAAGGTCACACAGGGGCTGGAGGGAGAACCATTGCTCTGCCAGGTGGTGCTTTCCTTCCTGGCACCCTGGCTGTTCCAAGAAAGGCTCCAGAGTTCATTGAGGGGAAAGCCAGGGCCAGGTGGGTGGTAGAGGCACCATGGCAGCTCATTGCCCGGTCTTTCTTCCATTGCTTGTTTTTGGCGGTGTGCAGGGCACTGTCCAAGACGCCAGCGGCCCTGGCACTCAACCAGACACAGCACTGCAAGCAGCTGGAGGGCCTGGTATCGGCGCAGGTGCAGCTGTGCCGCAGCAACCTGGAGCTCATGCACACCATTGTGCACGCTGCCCGCGAGGTCATGAAGGCCTGCCGCAGGGCCTTCGCCGACATGCGCTGGAACTGCTCCTCCATTGAGCTCGCCCCCAACTACCTGCTTGACCTGGAGAGAGGTAGGGGGCAGTGGGGCTGCTCAACCCGTGTGAGTGTGGGTGGAGGAATTCCGGCACACATTTGTGTGTTTGGATAGGTGGATGGATTCATGGATGGATAGGTGGACTCACGAGCCTGTGGATGGATGAGTGAAGAGGAGGACGGAAGCACAGATGGATGCAGGCAGGCGTGGCTGGATAGCTGTGCAGGCGGATGCGTCATTCATAGATGCGGGTGTTCAGGCGTGAATTAGTGAAGGCAGAAGCATGGAAGAGTGAATATATCAGCTCAGGGAAACCTGAGCCCCAGCTCACGCACGAGTGAAGGACCCAGGAGGCCTGCAGCACGCCTGAGGTCATGGCTCACCTGGAGGAGAACGTGCAGACAGAGCCCACCCATTGGCAGACAGGTGCCCCTCATTCACACAGTGGCTAGCGACCGAACAGCTGTGAGGCGTACTCAGGGGATGGGGGCCGGGACCCTGGAACAGTAGAGAGGCTTTGACAGGCAGAAACGCCCTGATGGTTCTCAGCTGTCCCCTACATGGTAATGACTTCTCTCATGGATCCTGAACAGTGACAGCTAATGTCTGTACAGCACAGGGCAAAGCTCCCTTCCTTCCTGAATTCATTGAAGGCCTGGGTGAGCTCGCGAGGTAGGTATTATCTCATATTCTACAGCTAAAGAAACTGAGGCTCCAGGAGGGGAAGCAACTTTTAGTTAAGAAATGGAACCGGGCCCAGCCACAGGGCCAGGACAGCCCCAGTGAGGCACGTTGGCTCCCTGTTAGTTTCCTGGGGCTGCTGTCCCAGTGTACCACAAACTGGCTGGCTTCAAGCCACCGAAATGTACTGTCCTACCGTCCTGGAGGCTGGAAGTCTGCAGTCAAAGTGGCGCAGGGCTCCCTCCTTCCTCCCCTGCTCCTAGCAGCCCTTGTGTCACCTGACTTGCAGCCGCAGCGCCTCATTCCCTGCCTGGGTCATCACGACAGTTCCCTCCTGCTGTGTTTCTCAAGCCCTTCTTCCAAAGTATGCAGGGGCTGTGGGGCGGCGGAGTCTTAGAGAAAGGTGTCATCTCCAGGCAGTCTCCTTCCTTGTGTGTCTGTGTCCAGACTTCCCTCTTCTAAGGTGCTGGCCGCTGGCTCTGCGTCCCTTGGATTCAGGATGACCTCATCTTCGCTCCACAGCAGCTGCAAAGATCTTATTTCTAAATAGAGTCGTGCTCACCGGTACCCCAAGTCAGGACTTGGAAATATCTTTTGGGGAGCACAGTTGAACGCAGAGCAGGCCCTCTGCACACTCACCTGCCCCCTCAGGGCTCGAGTCTTCACTTCTGTAGAGCAGTCGCACACACTAGTGTGGGGCAAGCAGAGGCCAAAGCAGAGTGCTGTGAGTGTGCGCAGGAGTGTATGAGTGTGTACCTGTGGGTGTGGGGCTGGGAGTGAGTGTGCTGGTTAGCGGAGGTACTTGTGGGAGAAGCAGGGGAGACGAGCTGACAGAATAATGGCCCCAGTGCAGTCCCCCTCCTGTACCACCCTGAGCCCGCGGTGGGTGGGGAAGAGGACCCTCAGACCTGTGCCAGGTCCTATCCTTGGATCAGCCCACCCGTCTGACCACGACCTCTGGCCCCGCAGGGACCCGGGAGTCAGCCTTCGTGTATGCGCTGTCGGCTGCCACCATCAGCCACTCCATCGCCCGGGCCTGCACCTCTGGCGACCTGCCCGGCTGCTCCTGCGGCCCTGTGCCAGGTGAGCCACCTGGGCCCGGGAACCGCTGGGGAGGATGTGCGGACAACCTCAGCTACGGGCTCCTCATGGGGGCCAAGTTTTCCGATGCTCCTATGAAGGTGAAAAAAACAGGATCCCAAGCCAATAAACTGATGCGTCTACACAACAGTGAAGTGGGGAGACAGGTAACCACCCACCCCATCCACCCCAGATGGTGTGCTTGTGCCATTGGCTAGAAAAGGGCTGGCAGGGTCCCTGATGGAGGGGTGGGGGTGGGCCCCCATCATCTGCAACCTCCCTCAGCTCTGCCCTCTCCAGCGCTTGGGGCTTGCTTGGCCCTTCTTCCCCCAGGGGCTCCCCCAGGATTTGATTGTTGGGGCAGAAGCACCACCAAACTAGGAGACAGGACGTCTGAGTTCTGGCCTTGGCTCTGGCTCTGAATTCACCAGGTGATGTTGGGCAAGTCGCCTCCTCTCTGGCCTCAGTTGTTCCCATTATAAAATGGGGATTGGGTGTTCAGTCCCCTCTGACGTGTTCCTCAGCCCTTCCTCCAGCGCATGGAGAGGTCTGTGGGCAGTGGAGCCTACTAAGGAATCTTCTCCTTGGGTTTAGAGGGGAGTCCCTGCAAACCCAGCCTAGCCTCCAAAAACCAGTTGCCCCATCTACCGTTACTCCTCGCCTCATGAACAGGGTGAGGGAGGGCAGAGGTGAGTGGACAGATGTTTGTTTCAGTTTCTGAAAATTAAAACAAACTTCATGCCCCTTCGTCGTGCAGACACTGTGCTAGGCACTTGAATTTTCTCACCCGTGGTCCAGGAACAAGTCCGAGCAGGTACTGTTGTCCCCTGTTTACAGATGGGGAAGGCACAGGAGGGCACAGTGTTGGGTACAGGCAGCATCTCATGGACCATTGGCCCCGTTTGACAGAGGCACCAGGGAGGCAGAAAGCTTAGGTGGCCCAGCCAAGGACAGAGGGCACAGTGGAGTCAAGGTCTGTGGGACCCCACATCCAGAGGCCCCTTGTCCTCATCTTCTCTTTTGGTCTCCCTTGGGTGAGGCTTCTAGGATGTCCAGGCCATGGGACAGTCTGGGAAACAGACCAAATTGCACGGTGGGTCCATCACAGAGTCTGGCCAGGGACTCGGGCCTCCTCCCTCCCTGCTCTGCCTTCCTCCCACCCATGGAGACCCAGCAGGAGCCTCCAGCCAGCCCCACTGCCCTGGCCAGCCAGAGCCCTGAGCCTCTGGCAGCCAGGAGCACGGACTGCCCACTCCCATGTGCAGAGACAAGGTCAGCCTCAGGTGTACCCTGCCTATTCCCTGACACTCTGTGGAAGCCTTGCTGTCCCCAGCAGGGCCATGTGAAGAGTCAGCAAGATCACACATGCAGCCATTTAGCTCTGGCACACAGTGGCCTCAGGAGCTCCAGGCCACTCCCCATCTTACACCCAGGAACTGAGCCTGACTTTCCCTTCCCAGGTGACAGCCAGTGGCCAGTGCCTGTAGTCTTGTTCACTCAGTCCTGTGCCTCCCACGGGCCTTGCTTAGCAAATTCCAGCTCTTACATCCAAATGGACGCCTTCGGTCCCCACTCTCTGCTACTGATGAGGGGCAAGGAGCCCAGGACTTTAACTAGGTCCCTTACTAACTCACTGAGTAGTTTGAGGCAAATCCAGGCCCACTCTGCCTCAGTTTGTCCATGCAGAAAGTGGGCTCCGATGACCCAGGACCTTCGCAGCTCTCTGTATAGGGCAGGCAGGAGGGCTGACAGGGTAGACCTGGACAAGAGCGGTGAGTCCTCTGCAAAAAAAGGAGTTTAAAAGATTAGATGGAAAGTCCCTCAGAAGGCATCTAACTCTTGCGCCTCAGGCACAAATGGGGAAACTGAGGCCCGGGGAAGGTGGTGGGACTGAATCATTTTTAAAGCTAAGGCTAGGGTCTACTCAAGTTCCTGGGCCCACACCTCCCCCCTCCATCATAGCTGGTAGATTGATTTTTCAGAACCAGTACTGACTTAGCTTTACCACACCTTTCATGTATGTCCTGTCATCCTTACCACGCTCCACAAGGCAGGGGTGATTTGCTCACATTACACCAAAGAAGACAGCGGCCCTGAGTGGTGAGGTGCTTGCAAAAGGGCTGCCTTGCAGGTGCTGTAGCAGTGCAGGGGCAAAGCCAACTGGGGAACAACAGGAGGAGGAGCCCCCAAACACTCACTCTGCCTCTTCTTTCCTGCTTTCCTCCCACTCCTCCCCAACTCCTTTCCCTCATTCCCTTCTTTTCTCCCCACTTTTCAACAAGTCCTTAGTGAGCTCAAGTTGTTTTTGTCTTTGTTTTATTTTGAGACAGGGTCTCAATGTAGCCCAAGCTGGCCTTGAACGCACAATCCTCTTGCCTCAACCTCCCAAGTGCTGAGATGACATGCGTGCACCACCGCATCCAGCTAGTTAACTCCAGTTTTGTGGGGAAAAAAGGGTTTAGACGATCAAAAGCCACAGCTTTTGAAATCACCCTCAGGCCTAACTTCAATTCCCAACTCCACAGATTTCTAGCTAAGTAACACTGGACATGAAACTTAACCTGTCTGAGCTTTCACTTCTTTTCAAGATGGGATAATAGCGATACCTCCTGGAAGGGCTGCGGTGATGACGAACCCCTATTATGTGTAGAGCGTTTGGTACACAGAAGGTGCTTGACAAGGGCTTCCATTATCCTTGCAAATGCCACTCTCTCCCTGCCCCTCTCAGCTACACCCTACGCAACCTCCCAGCTTTTGAGCTGAACGCTTGATGCCTTGAAGCTCAAGTGGGCAAAGACTTGCTGAGAGCACACCCCCAGCCAGGCAGTGGGGCCCCAGGGTCCTGGGACAGGTGGGGGAGTGGGCTCTGGCCACCCCACCCGACACCCCAACTGTCTGCAGGCTCTGCGTGCCTCTCTGGAAGTGAAGTGTAAGTGCCATGGAGTGTCAGGCTCCTGCTCCATCCGCACCTGCTGGAAGGGGTTGCCAGAGCTCCGGGATGTGGCTGCTGACCTCAAGACCCGCTACCTCTCAGCCACCAAGGTTGTGCACCGACCCATGGGCACCCGCAAGCACCTGGTGCCCAAGGACCTGGATATCCGGCCTGTAAAGGACTCAGAACTTGTTTATCTGCAGAGCTCACCTGACTTCTGCATGAAGAACGAGAAGGTGGGATCCCATGGGACACAAGACAGGTAAGGTCCTGCACACCTCCAAGAGACACTGTGCCCCAGCTCAGTGGAGCTAAGTGGAGCGGGGTGGCCCCAGGAGGACCCCTGCAGAAGTCCTGGGAGTGCAACTCACCCTACCAGGGGTCCCAGGGATGAAAGCTGTAGGTGCCCCTGCCCCACTTCCCCTCCATGGGGAGAGGCAGTGACTCTATCAGGAGACAGAAGAGGAGGGTGCCCAACCAACAGAAAATAGGCGCTCAGCAAATGTTTGTCAAATGAACAGATGAAGGATAAATGTCCTACAGTCTGCCTGTGGACAAAAGAGGAACTGAGAAAAAGAGGAAAGAGGAGATAGCAACCATACCACGATCATCCAGGAAGTCTGCAGAGGCAAAGGAGAGCAGGATCTGCCTTCTGTAGAGAAATTTGCACTCATGTACCCTGACATGTGCAAGTGCTCCTCCCAGTTCCCGGGTCTTCATGTGTCCTCCCAGGGGCTGCCTTGGCCCCCAGTTTCAGAGCCAGGGCTGGCATCCCCACAGATGGCCTCCTCCCAACCCAGGACAGAAGGAGCTGGGGGCGGTGGGGGCTGCAGACCTACTGTGTGCTGAGTGGGACAGGGGAGCATCTTCTGGAGGAAGCCAGTACTGAGCCGTTAGAACAGAGAGCTGCATGGTCAGAAGTGACTGGGATGCCATGTACCAAGCACAGGACGTGCCCTCCTATGTAGGCCCAGAGGAAGCCGCAGTAAAGATCTGATTAAGCCTGTGTTTCCCAGAGGTGCTGGCCAGGGGAACTCTTTTATTAAGGAGCCCCTAATAGCATTCCACAGGGGTGGTGTGCGGCGGGGCTAGAGGGATATTGAATGGAGAGCGGGTGTCCGCGAACAAGTCTGGCACATAGTTGGTGCCCAGCCAGCATCTGCTTCCTCCACAGCCCACGTTTCTGTCTCCAGAAGGGGAGGGTAGGTTTGGGGGCTCCACCCTCACAGCCAGGGCAGCAGGCTCTGTGAGGAGGCCTAGCTCCCATCTGGAGGCCAGATTGAGGGGGTTGGACAGAGTAAAGATGGAAAGGGTCAGGCCAGGGAGACAGGAAGGAGCGAGATCTGGGTGGCAGCGGCAGAGTGGAGGTGGAGAGAGACCTCAAGTGCTCAAGCTGTGACGAAGGGAAGGAGCCCCAGGGATGAGGGCAGCCTAGAAGGCACTGACCCAGCCTGGACATCCAGGAAGGCTTCCTGGAGGAGGGAAGTGTGGCTGACTCGGTTAGGGATTGGGTGTGCAGTGGTTTGGAGGTGAGTGGGTCTGGTTAACAGCTCAGCCACGGGCACAAGTGGCATCACTCCAGAGACTGGTCCCTCCCTGGGGAAACTGAGGCCTCATAATCCCCAGCCCTCTTTGTCATGTCTCTCCTAGAGGCTCCTGGAAACTATCCTCCCGCCCTCTCTGGCCCATCCCCTTACTTCCTAGGCATCCCAGTAGCCTGGCCCAGCCCATGGCCCTATAGTCCCCAACTCCCATCCCAGGTACCACCCAAGCCTAGTCTGGCTCTGATGCGGGAGGCCAGGTTTCAGATATTGCATGCCAAGGATCAAGCGAAGAAAAAGGCACTCAGCCCTCTTCCTGCCACTGGGGGTGGTGTGGTCACCTACAGGATGGACTCATGGCATTGAATGACTAAACAAAGTCCAGAAAAGTAGCTTAAGTCACACAGCCAGTATAAAGCAGAGCTATATACTCTGGTTGGAACCCAGGTCTGTCTGGCTCTAGGGCGTTGTGTTCTTCCTGACGCACCTCTTGCTTACAGTCCTGCTGACTCTCTCCAAGGGTTCCTCTTCCCTCACCCCAAGGCCCCTCCCTGCTCAGGCTGGCCTGCATCCAGCCTCTTCCTGCCTCCACTCTCTCCCAGTTCTCACACCAGTCCCTTAGCCTTCCTTCCACCCCAACACCCTTCCCCTTTTCTGCCTTTAGACATCTGCTCATATGTGGCCTGGCCTAGATGACCCCTCCTCTTCCAGGAAGCCTTCCTGAGCGTTCACAAATCCTGTGGTTAGCCTGTGTGATCTTGGACGAGTCCTATCTCCATTCTCTGCCTTAGTTTCCTAGTCAATAAAGAGGGAGATTGGATTCAGTCATCTCTAAGGCTTGTCCATTTCAGACATTCTAGGATGCCTCTGTCCACGCAGCTGGCTGTGGGGACCCTTTTGTCCCTCTCTGCTCTCCCCAGATTCCTGCTGTCAGCCATGTGTTCTGTGTGGCTTAGAGGAGGAAGGCACACAGTGGCTTTGATGCCGGTGCAATGCAAGCCTCCTTGCCAGGGATCAGTGAGAGTTTGAGTGGCCTCTATCCTTAGCTGAGCCTATTTCATCAGGGAATGGCAAAGTGACGCCACCTACCCAAGGACCCCGCGTACCTCCAAGGAGATAAAACCCTGAAAGGACGCACACAACCCCTGGCAGGCAGGGCCCCTCCTCCCGCCACCAGTGCCCAAGCTAACTTTGCTTTGAGTTCAGTGCCATCTTTAGTGTTAAGAATTTTTCCTGGGATTCTAAAAGTAAACCTCACATCTGTTACAGTATAAGTAAAGATTAAACAGGAAGGCAGGATGATTAGACAGGTTTGAATGGGCCTTCCAGTATTTAGAGGAAATGGAAACAAGACACCTCCAGAAACACAAGAGCCGAAGCATTTTGTTAACAGCTTATTTGAAACAGGAAGAAGGCAGAAGTACCCTTAGGGAAGAGGGTTACTTAAAATTCCTGAGCTCAAGCTTCCTAAAGGCTGTCAGTTGCGGGGCTAGGAGTCCCAGTACTGGGAGTGGGGTTTGAGCACTCTGTCCTCCGTTCCCCACCCTCCAGGCAGTGCAACAAGACCTCCAACGGCAGTGACAGCTGTGACCTCATGTGCTGCGGGCGTGGCTACAACCCCTACACGGACCGTGTGGTGGAGCGGTGCCACTGCAAATACCATTGGTGCTGCTACGTCACCTGCCGCAGGTGTGAGCGCACAGTGGAGCGCTATGTCTGCAAGTGAGGGTGCGACCTCCAGCACACGGGCACGGACCCTGGTGAGGACCCTTGGTGGGGCCAGCAGACACCTCCTGGACCTTTCTTTGCAAATACCTGATGCCAGGCATGTGTGGCAGGCAGCTAGAAGTTTGCCCCTTGGAAGCTACTGGGGACAGAAAGCCTGGTCACTCTGGAAGGAGAGCCGGACATCAAAGGAAACCGACAAGATTAAAAATAACCTAGCAGCTCAGGCCCTGGAGTGCCCAGGCGCGGCCTTCCAGGCTGGTCCAAGAAGCCAGGGGCAAGGATTACGCGACTATACGGACTTGACCTTTCAGGGCCGAGACACCGGCCTTCAGGAATGCTCTGCAGGGCCCTCGGCCCACCACATGGAACCACTAGCTTGAGTTGTAAATGTTTTTTGATTTTGTTTTTTTTTTTCTTTTTTTCCTTTGGGGTGTGGGAACTACAGAAATATTTATAAAACCTAGCTTTTTCTTTGGGGTGGTTTACCTCAGTTCCTCTTTATGTATTTTATATATAAATGTATATATATAATGATCTATATTTTAAACAAGCTTTTAAACAGCTGTATGAAATAAATGCTGAACGATCCCCAGACTGCCCTGCAATTTCTGGCCTCCTCAAGTGAACTGGGCAGATCCTGGGGCTGGTGGGAGGACTCTCTGGTTTCCAGGCAGGCAGTTTCCCACTGATATTCCTGCCCCACTTGTTCCCCCACACCCTGGCCCCCAGTTTCCCTATAAGATCTCTTGGGCAAGGGCAAGGGCAGACATCTTGAAACATAAGCCCAGCTGGCAGGGTCTTTATTCCATCAGGACACACACACAGGCACAGAGTGTAGCCAGGCCTTGTGGTCAGACCTCCTAAGACAGCTGCAAGAGGAAACCCACCCCAGGAAGCTGGGGACCTTTGGGAGGTGGTAGCAGACCAGGCTCCAGCTAGCCCTGGTGGGTTTTCTGTGCGACCCTGGGGAAGCCTCCTCCACTTCAGTTTCCCCATTTGTAAAACAGGGCTGATGTTAACTAAGATTGGAGGTTGGGAAAGGCTGCAGCCTCTCATCATGCCTGGACCACGCTGGTGGCAGTGGATGTGGTGAGAAGTTGCTGGATCCCGATTCTGTTTTGAAGGTAGAGCCACCAAGATTTGTTTTCTTTTTTCATGTAGGGTGTTAGGCAAAGGAGGCCCAAGAAGGACTGTTTGGGTTGGGAAGGAACATTTGGAAGGATGAAGGGGCTGACTAGGAGGTGGTGAGAGAAGACAGGCTCAGATTTGGACTTGTGGGTCACAATGTCACTTAAGCTCTGAGTGGATACACTGGGTAGCTGGGACAATATGGGCGTGGAGTTCTGGGGAGTCCAGGGTGGAAGAGACACAAGGGAGCGAGTGGGCTAGAAAAGGGAAGAGGACCACGGCCTGGTCTGGGATGCTTTAACCTTGGAAGTTGGAGAGATGTAAAGGAAGAGCAACAAAGGATACAGAGAAACAGGGAGGTGGCAGGAGACCAGGTAAAGGGTCCTGGCAAGATCCCAGGAGGAGCAGGACTGCCGCAGGCACAGGCTTCAATATCACTTCCTGCAGTGGGCAGTGCCAGAACCAGTCCCTGAGCAAAGAGTGCCCATGGTGGGCCCCAAGATGGAAGATCTATTAACCATCTGTGGCCTGCTCTGTCCATTGGGAGACCATATACAACCAAGGCTGTCAAAGAATGTTCCAGATGTTTTGTGTTCATGGCCCCCACATGTGGACCGCAAGGGCTGGGCTTTCCCTTCTTAGAGACAGATAAAGACTGAGGAAGTCTCAGAGGCTGGGCAGGACTTGGTGTGAAGCATGTCATCCTGGAGGTGAGATGGCATAGATGAGGCCTGAACCAGTCCCAGGGTGGGGAGAGCCTGGGTTTTCATGCCCATCCTCCAAGCTTTGCCTAAAAGCTGGCACCAGGGGTGGCCAGAGTCACAGAATCGCAGGCTAGAAAGAGCCTCCAGATATGGTGTCCTCTAGGTCTGGCTTGCAGTTGAGGAAATCAGTGATGGGAAGGGCCTTTCCTGTGGTCATGGAGCTGATAAGTAGCTAGAGTTGGAGATGGGAGCTTTTCAAACCAGGGCTGGCCAGCCCCTCTGCCTCTGTTACCCTGGAGTATGCTCCCCCTGCAGGGTTCGTGGACCCCATAAAACTGGGCACATGAGCCCTCATCCCAGCTTCACAGGCTCCTCCAGCACCTTTCCTGCAACTCCCCAGGAGTTGTGTGGCTCCAGCCACAGCAGAGCATGCACTGCCAGCCAAAGTGCCAAACAGCAGCACCGTGGTCTGCCAGCTCGCCTCTGCCTCTGGGCACAGCCCAGAAGGCCACTGTCCCCGCTGGAATTCCCCTCCCCGCATTTGCAGCCCTTTCCACAAAGCCCCCTCCCTCCTGGGGCTCTCTACACCCTTTGAACCTTTCAAGTAACCACCACACCACGTTCACCCTCCCGTGACTGGGCAGAGCCCTGCCCTCCTACATGACCAAAGTGAACAGCCCCTTCATTCAGGAAGTCCTTCCTGACCGCCCTCAGCCCAGGCCATGGCTTCTCCTGGCTTCCCACAGCCTTGTACTCCCTCTGACTTTGTGCTGATATGGAATGTTATCGAAGCCTGTACTGCGTCTGCATCTGCCCCCCCGCAAAGTCTGGTTTCCTTCCACATGGACTGGGACCAGTCCCATGTATCTGTTGGGTCCTGGGAGCTGGATGCAAAACATGTCTTGGGAATGTTGAATTTGGGGTGCTCTTTGCACCATAACTAAAACAAATGGGGAAACCAGACCAAAGACCCAGAATGGCTCTCAGAAAGGTCGGACATAATAATCATAAATGCTACCATTTCCTGTGCACCTGCTGCGTACCGTTCCAAACACATTGTTCCCGAGTACTCTTCACAACAGCCTCTGCCCAGGCAGGAAAGGAGGAGACTGAAGCTCTGGGGAGAGAGGTAACTAGCCCTGGCTCCCAAGGAAGGTTCACAGCCCGCGGCTCTGAGTCATTTGTGCTCTTTTTCACACGTCTTCTCTCCAGTGGGCACACATGGGAGGGATGTGGAAGGCAGAAGATGTTTCCTGAGCCAGGGGGCAGCCCGCAAGTCTTGGGACGGGTGACCTGGCTGTCCCTGACTCAGCAGGCCTTTTGCGCCTGCTGCTGGCCAATCCCTATTCTGTGATGAAGCCCCACACCTTTTGGCTGGCCAGGGGCTGGGCCACTGAGGGGGGTCTGGTGCTGATCCCTGGGCAGCTCCTCATCCTTCCAGGTGAAGCTCTAAGGTAGCCTCTGGCCTCATACTCAAGTGAGGCGGGGTTGGGTCCCCTCCAGTGTGAGCCACAGCACCCAGAGGCTCCTGAACCCTGGGGCCCCAGCAGCTTCAGAGCTGTCTATGTTCAGATTTAGAACCACACAAACTTGGTGCCTGGGAGTTTTAGAGCAAACCCTTAAGCCATGACACTAGATGCCCTGCAGAGGCCTGGCCAATGTCCAGCCCAGAGGACTCAGAGGCCTTGGGAGCTGATCGGTGGGAGTCAGCACCCTGTCACCCCAGGACTCCTCACACGGTGCACTCCCTGTCCCTCCTGTATGGAGGGCAGGGGTCCCCAACAGGGCTCTGTGAGTCCCCAAGAGCCCTGGAGAGATGGAAACGCCCCACATGATAGCACCAGCCACACTGAGGTGGGGGCTCTGACCAGCGCGGGGGCTGACCAGAGTTGCTGACCAGAGTCACGGGAGAGACGGGGCCTGAGAAGAGACAAGAGGGCGGCAGAGAGGAAACAGGAACTCTTGAAAAGACAGAGAGATTAGTTTGGTGGGAAAGGAGAGAATGGTCAGATAAGGCCCCCTGGGGAGACTGCTCAGGCCAGAGAGCCACCAAGGGGGGCCCCAGCCAAGCCCAAACAAGCCCTGGTCTGTTGTTCCTGAGGCCACTGAGGCCAGCTGCCGGGGACACCCGGACCAGGCCTCTGGCCTGATGCATGCCCCAGCTAGGACCCCAGACGTGAGAGTGGCTAGGTAGAGGTCTGGGCTAACCCCAGCATGTTTTCTACTCTCTTGCTGTGTGACTCCAGGAAACCCCTGGCCCTCGCTGGACTTCTGCAGCCATTGTCTTGTTTAATTCTCACAACTTCTAAAGGGCAGTATTTCTGTTTTACTGAAGGACACAGGTTCCAAGAGGGAAGCACCTAGACCAAGATTACAGAGCCATTAATGGAAGAGCTGGGATTCAGACCCCAGACTGCCTGGCTCCAACTCCTGAGCCTACTCTCAGCCTCCATGACCCGTATCCTGGGAACGAAGGTGGATACCGATAGCTAAGTGGGGGCTGGCGTCACACAGGAGAGAGAGAGTAATTCAGGACCAGGCAGGTCCTGACGTCTGCTGTGGGGACCTGGAAGTGCTGTCCAGGCAGTGGGGGTGGGGATGCCCATCAGGCCCCAGCTCAGCCCACAGTTTCCTGCCCCATCCTCCCCAGTGAGCTGCTCCCCTTTCCCTGGTGCCTCCGAGGCCCCGCCCCTGTGTGAGAGGAGGCGGCCAGGTGTCCCTCTTCCACGGGGCCCACAGCTCTCAGTGTTATAGCAGATTTGGGAGGAACATCCTGCTTTTATGGGGTGTCAGGAACAGGGACTGGAGGTCAGGGAAGAGAAGAGGTGCCACTGCACCGGTCCGGAAAGCTGAGCTGATCAGGACTTGCAGAGATAGACAGAGGCAAAGGGGGTTGCTGTGTGATCACTGCGTGGCCCTGAGTGTGACAAGATGGGGGCCCTGTGGGCAGCATGGTGGCAAAGGCAGAGCCGGGACTCCGGGCTGGCACGTTAGAGCAGGGGTGTCTCAGACCACGCCCACCAGGTGCTTGCCGCCAGCTGGACTATCCGCTGCCTGCAGAGATGGCTGGCTTCAGGCAGAGTAATTTAACAGCCGCACGTTTAACAGGTCCCCTTGCTCCCGTAGACCAAATCAATATCCGCTTGGCTCCCTGGACCGGTGGCTGCTGGAGACATTCTGCTTATCACCCCTTGGTCCCCATTGCTGGGCCTGCTGAGCCCCACCCCAGGGCTGGGATGGAGTGAGGACTGAGGGAGGAGGAACAGGAAGAGGAGGTGGCAGGTCAGGGAAACTGTCCCTACACTTAGGCCGGTAGAAGAACCAGCCATCTCCACGGCCACTAGGCTGTCACATGAGGACAGGGGCTTTTGAGAAGCCGGGACACCAGTACTCCCATGCAGGGGCAAAGAGGCAGTTAAAATCCAAGTGTTTATTTTATGTCTCTACTGCCTTTGCTTCCATAAAAGAGTGCTGTGCACAGGGGCCATGGAGCAGAAGGGTGAGTGGGCGGTGTGGGGACCTGAGGCTGTTAACTCATAGAGTTGGTGACCTTGAAGGCTTCTTCCAACTCTAGATCGTTAGAGTGAGTTTTTCTTAGATTCTGGAACTCCACTCCACAACATCCTGGGGTTTCAGGAGTGAGGACTTAAAGACACTAAGCA